AAGAGGAAAAAGTGATTCCTGGAACACTGAGCTCGTTGAATCGAGCCCCACTGTCGTGCCTCAAGAAAAAATATCTTTGGTCGTGAGAAGTTAGAACAAAAAAGTGACCTATTACCGTGCTATAGAAGAACTCATATTATTGCAGAGTTCAATATCTCAATCATTCACAAAATAATACGCACCCAAAGTGGAGTTGTACATAATCGAATCATATCTGAAATACAAAAGATTTTAGAGCATGACAAAAATTGACCGAAAGTCTAAACAAAACTCCCTCTTCGAGATAAATCGATTTGAAAACGGTACCCTCTTAAAAAATTCGATTTTCTACCGAACTCCTAAAAAGGTTAGGCAGTTTTGAAATAGCATTCGAATGATTCGGAGTGCTTTAAGAAACGACTTTTCAGTTTTACGAAACCTTTAGAGTTTTGAGTGTGAGTTAGGTTGGTTGTTGGGTGGAGTGGGGGTGAGAGTGTGGGTGGGTGTGAATATGAATATTTCATATCAATGTACATTCGCATGAGTACCATCGCACCCAACCACCCACATCCCAATAAGGGAACAAAGTAAGTAAAAATATTCAACAGTTCGTGATTTGTCGTCATCGGCAAACGATTGTACGATTAATTTGTATAGCAGACCACTACTAAGATGTTTATTTATGTTTAGGACAAAGTAGTATGATTGGGACATTCTCGACACTAGTGCCCAGGTCGAGCAATCAGATAGTAAGATCAGCTATGGGTTCTTACATGACCATATCTGATCTGATGTCAGAATCATATATGTTCATGTAGGATCATACAAAAAATTACCCCCCAGGTCAAACAAGCAGACGATAAGATCTTACATGATCGTATGTCTGATCTTGTATGATCTTGGAAGATCAGATGAAAAATCGTACGAAAATCGTGGTCTCGGATCTCTTAAATTAAGTCGTACCTTACGATTCTTGACAGATCTTGCTGTTCTGTAAGATACTAATATAAGAATATGGAAAATCTTATACCACAGTAAGATCTTATAAGAATCTTATAGTGCCATTTGATGTAAGATTTCCGAGACCACGACTTTTTGTATGATTTCACCTGATCGTACAAGACTTGATGTCACATTTTTTGACCTCCGCCAGGTCAAAAAAGCTTGTCAGGGTGTGGGTGTGGGTGTGGGGTGGGGTGAAGGCAAGCGGAAAAGGCAAATTTTGACACCTAAAATCTCTAGAAATCTTTGAGAATCTTTAGAAATCTTTGCGAATCTCAAGAAATCTTTAGAAATCTTTGGGAATCTCTAGGAATCTCTAGAAATCTTTAGAAATCTTTGAAAATCTTTAGAAATCTTTAAGAATCCTTTGGAGGGTTAAATGAGGCATGTTGCAACACCAATACTATAGTGAATTATCAGGATTGAATGGAATTCGTAATGACCGGCTTGCGTATTATTGTACTGGTGCCGTGACATCTCTAATTTTTCCGTTAAAGAAAGGACCTTTTCAGTAAAACAAGGGTTTTGTTTTTTTATAAAGATTTATGAAAGTTTTTCGGATGCATGTAGTATCAGTATGGGTGTGGGTGTGGGTGTGGGTGGGTGGGTGGGTGGGAGTGTGGGTGGGTGTGGGTGGGTGTGGGTGTGGGTGTGGGTGGGTGTGCCCGTGGGGGGCAGTGGGTGTGAGTATTGCTATGAATGAATTACGAGCACGTGTACCAACACCCGATACTCACCCACATCCTTACTCACACCCACACTCTGTTGTTTCGATCGACCCACACTACCAAATACTTTTCCTGCATATGTAGCTGTCGTTGACGGCTCATTTTGCATGGAATATTTGCAGTTGAACCATCGGTTGAATATGATGGATAGTGATCAAATATTTGGATAAAGTTGTTTTTTTTCTTTATATGCTCGACGATCGGTGTCTTTTTGTTTTCTTGACATTTGAAGTAGCCTCTTCCTAGTTGCAATTGATTATTTAGTTGCCAACAACATTACTAATAGCATTATTTTTCCTTCAAACTTTCGTGTGACTTTCGTCGATTGGATTGTTTGAATAATAGTGTGCTCGATACTTCGTCCTTCACTGTTTTCGACAAATATGAAAAAAAACCCAAAGTATAGAGTGTGTGGGTGTGGGTGTGGGTGGGGTGTGGGTGTGGTTGCGGCTGTGGCTGTGTCTGTGTGTGGGGGGAGATTGTGACGATTTTCTGATAGAAGGAGTATGAGTGAAGATGGAATAACACTTTATTATGTTCCTTCGTATCATACAATCGCATCGTTTACATAGAAAGCATCCGTTTATATATGTCAGGCAGGAGAGAAAGAGAGAGTAAACACATAAAGAGATAGAAAGAAGGAAAGAGTCGATAGACAATACTAATGTTATTGATGACAGAACATACATATCACAGAGCTATCCTAGTGAACGATTAACTAATGAGCGATATGTGAATATAGAATAGAGTAAGAGACGATGTTACATATTCAACAATGACAGACAAGTTATGTATCATCATTACAGACGGCATCTCCATTACAACTGTTACAGAGATGGTATGGGTTGGTGTGGGTGTGGGGAGAGGGTATAGGTTGGTGTGGG